TCTCTCTCTCTCTCTCTCTCTCTCTCTCTCTCTCTCTCTCTCTCTCTCTCTCTCTCTCTCTCTCTCCACGAACCTATCGCATGAACTTCCACAATCCGTGCAAGTGACGGGTCAGCAGTCAGCGTTGCCAGACAACAGAACCCGCTCGTGTTCAGAGAACTCTCTCCACAACCCTTGCACGTAACGAGCTTATATCGCATAGGACAATACCTGTCGTCACGAAAAAAAAGGAGGTGAAATAAAAGCAAAAAAGAACAACGTCACGAACAAACGCAACAACCGACGGTGACACGACGAAAGTTGCACGTTGGCCCCTTCGTCACGGTGGAAGTACAAGATCGAAACACCATCGTGTCACTTCTCGCGCATCCACAGAGTGCGCAGTTGGTGATTTGCATAACTGAACTCCATCTCGTCGCCACTGACAGACGTCACAACGAAATTCCCCGGACCTGCAAGATGTGAACTCCATCTGGTCGCCACTGACAGACGTCACAACGAAATTCCCCGGACCTGCAAGATGTGAACTCCATCTGGTCGCCACTGACAGCCATCACCCCCCCCCCTCCCACCCCGCAAAAAATCAAACAGCCGCCTATGCAAGAGGATTGGTTGTTTGGCTTGTCTCTGCATTGCAGCGATCGCGTCATACAACCGTCGGTCCATCTGGAACTTGTATCCTTTGTCAGCCCGTTGTTTAGGAGTGAGTGTAAAAAAAGAGTGCATACCTGAGTCCTTCTCCCTATCGAAAATTCTCCTGTACCACCCAATCACATTCTCCCAACGCTTCATGCACGCATCCCACCCCTTCACCACCCCTTGTGCGGACATCCTTTTGGCGATGTCTGTCCACTTCCATTCCTTGTTTTTCATTCTAGCAAAATTGGACCCTGCGGCTGCAATCGCCTCGTCGTAATCCCTCTCGCACCGCACCAGGATAAGGGACTCGTCCAAACTCCAATAGGTGCATCCGCCACTTGTCCCATCTCCTCCATCCGCACTGACCACCCTCACGTTTCCCTTTTCTCTACCCCTCCCGACCCCAGTTTGTGCTCCACCTCCTGTGTTTTGAGCACCGGGTGGCAAGGACGGCTCGTCCTCTGTGTTGCCTTCCACGTCATCCATGTCGTCTCCATCGGCCGCACCATCTCCATAGTCATCACCTTTTACTTCACGCTCCCCGTCACTCGTTGCCCGCATCATCCAATCTCGAGCAATGATTCTCTTCGCACAACGCGTCATTGATGGCAAGCTTGCTGATTGCCCGGTCCGTTGGACCCCCGCAGCCGCACCTGATGGAGCCCCGACCACTGGACTGAACTCCGACTGCTGGCAACAACCGCCTCTGTACGCAGTCATAGCCGGTTCTGCATGGCTCGCATGACTGCGACTGCAGCGGCCTCCCTGCGCACCGACCGATGGGTCACCGGTGGATTGGCTGGGGTCATCGACGAGAACAGTGCGTGTGACTGCTCTCTGGCCCCCAGAGGATAATTGAAGATCCAACGGCTGACACATCCCATGTCGGCCATTCGAATACAGGAGCGTTTCCATCGCTCCTTCGCTGGCAGCACCCTGCATCACTGTCCGTGCACCCTCCGACATTGACTGTGTGGATCCGTACGCTAATGGCAACGTGGCAAAGGGGGGTGCCCAAGTGTCGTCATCTGGCAGCGACTGCTGATGGGTTGGCAGATGGGCGTAAAGACTGGGGTCGAACCGGGGTGGGGCTTCGTTCCGATCACTGAACATCGGCCCTCCGTACGTCTACCTCTCATTGCCGCAGTGGTACCGTCCGCATTGGAGTGTGGCGGGGGGGGAAGGAGGGGAAATGGCCATTGAGCGGACTGACTGTTGGAGGCGGGCAGTGGGCTGGTGTGCAGCGGGGGTGGAGGGTGAGGTAGGGGGCAGGAGGATGTCTGGTCGGGGCAGTTCAAATTTGAACGGTCGGTGGCGGGCTCCATTCCCTGCGTCTGCCTCCGTGTCCACGGCGTCCTGTTTCATGGCAGACCATCTCGGGAAGATTGTCGTTTTGTGTGTCGTCTTGTTTGTCCTTGTGGCCATCGTCCTCTTGCACCTGTCTGGTTTGCTGCGCAGTCGCGAGGACAAAAAAGTGGAGGTTGTCGAACACGACATCGCATAGGAAGCCGGCAGCAATCATGGCAGGTGTGCGAGCCGTTGAGAGGCCTGCCGGACGGCTGGACCAACCGGCAGACCTGGAACGGTCTGCCAAAAAACAATAAAAACATTATTGCCGCCTATATAGGAGCCGCCGTCCCCTCGCACTTGAACTCAAGGCTCCCCGGAGAGGTATCTTGAGCTCAAGTGCGAATTTGCCCCGGGGGCACTTGAGTTTCGAGGGCTAGCACTAGAGAGCCGGAAAGTAGAAACAACTCCGCGGCCAGGTTAGGGTGGGGTCCAACGAAGAATTTTCCTTCAACCCTAGAGTTCAAGTGGTGTCGAACGAACCTGGTTGGCCGACCTGTACGGTGTGTCAATCAGGTTTCCGGATAGACATGCGGACCCACCCCACGACCCACCCTCTAGCCACTTGGCATTTTCACACGGGCCTGCTCTCACCGGTCACCTCCTCCCCATTTGCTACCTGTTACGATCCACGCGTTTATTTGTGCAGTGCGAGTGAGGGTGAGAATGAAGGGCTACGTTCGTTTGGCACTTCCTCGTCTGTGTGTGCGGAGGAGCTCACCCTTGAACATTTCGTTGAACGTAAGTTACGGTGTTCAACCTAAGGGCCTCGCCACACCACTGTCGAAAGAGAACGAATGCATCTGCCTCAGAAGGTGGTAAGATGAATCCATTGGTATTCATAGTAACGGATGCCTCTTGCCCGTTTTCGCGGGAAGATGCATTGGTTCGTTTATCGTTTCGACAGTGGTGTGGCGAGGCCCTAAGTTGAAGGAATGATTGGATGAAGAGTTATTGCGGCAAGGTTTCTTGAGGAAAGCTTATGTGAAGATAGTGACTCATATCATCGGTTGAAACTTAAAAGCATTAAGCAGAGGTGGAAGTGAGAAAAATAAGTATTTCAATAAATAAGTCGAACATTTCGCTGAACGTAAGTTACGGTGTACAACCCAAGTTGAAGGAATGTTGATTGGTTTCTCCGTCGGGTTCTAATCAGCGCTTCGATCTGCGAGACGAGATCGTGCCCGTCAATCTCGCCTCCTGAAGGCGCGATAACAGGAGTTTGGGACGTGCCATCGACGTGGAGGAGAGTGGGTGGTTGGATCCACGTTTCAGTTAAAGATACGTCGGAGTGAAGCAAGCCATTTGCAGGGGGCGGGTATCGCTCTTCTCTGCATCAACCTCACCACGGGTACCGCTCTTCTCTGTATGAACCTCACCTCTCGTGCTGGCCGTGACAAGTGTTCTTTCTCAGGTCCGCTGCCACAACATACAACCCCTGTACACCACAGAGACTTCAATTATAAAGCCATCGCCTCCTGCGGACTCCCCGTTCAAACCCACCAACCCCGTCCTCTACCCCCTTCCCCCACTTCCTCTCCCGGGCCCCCAACCGAACCCAAGGGCTCTGATGATGCTTCGCTTCAACTCATGCAAACATTCGTCTTCCTTCCTACTTCATAACGAAGAAGAAGAAGAAGAAGAAGAAGAAGAGGAAGAAGAAGAAGAAGAGAGATCAGAAAAGCATTCGTGAACTTGGCAGTAAGAAGAAGAAGAAGAAGAAGAAGAAGAAGAAGAGATCAGAAGAGCATTCGTGAACTTGGCAGTAAGAAGAAGAAGAAGAAGAAGAAGAAGAAGTAGAAGAAGAAGAAGAAGAAGAAGAAGAAGAAGAAGAGAGAACAGAGAAGCATTGGTGAACTTGGCACGTTTTGTAAGAATCAGGTAAAACAGTCAAGGGAGGGGAAAGTCAGGGGGGCCAAAAACAATAAAAAGTCTGAGGACACAATATCTGGGTCCGTGCTAACCAAAAAATTCAGAAATGGTGAAAACAAGAAAGAAAGTTTCCCAGTTTGATCGATTTTGGAAAACTGTTACATTTTTTTAAAAAAAGATATCACGTTTTCTTGTATGTAGACGGGATTGAAGGCACTGGTATGGAGATTGACAGATAGACGGTGTTATTTCTTTTTAATTCAAATAAAAGTGATCATACCGGTAATTCTGTAGAGAGAAATAAATAGACAGGAAGGTAACAGTATAGGTAGGTGTTGATCCGTTTATCAGTCGATCGATCTTTTTTTTTCGTGTGTTGGTTCCTAGTCCGTCGATCTGGAGGTGCAGGTAGACAGAAACATACTTAAAAAAAAAAAAGACAAACAAACAAACAAACAAACAAACAAACAAAACAAACAAAGAAACAAACAAACGAAACTAGATAGGTCTACATGCAATGCACTAAGCAAGGAGAGCACAGACGATAGCCACGTGGACGTGGACTGTGCACTTGGGGAGCAGAGAGGCAGTTAAAAGGAATTGACGCGCGCGCGCGCGCGCGCGCGCGCGAGAGAGAGAGAGAGAGAGAGAGAGAGAGAGAGAGAGAGAGAGAGAGAGAGAGAGAGAGAGAGAGAGA